GTTGTGAGTTCAGGGAGAAAGGATTTAGGCCAAGTCAGAAAGGATTTAGCCCAAGTTAGAAGCCGGGCTTTGTTGGGGAAGCTGTTGACAATGTCTCCGTATGAGTTTTCTCGCCGTGTTGGCTCCCAAAGAAAAGCTTCTATCCATGGTAATCAGGGTTTATTAAAGGAAGCCATGAAAAAAAGTCTTTAGATGAGATTAAAAGGATTGTGTAGCTGCACTTGGTGCTGAATTGCTCTGTGCTGGCTCCGGCTCTGGGCATCTGCCTCGTCAGCATCCCGGGAAATGAATGGCTGTGCCTGAGTGCAGCAAAAGTAAACAGAGGAGCGTGCTGCCTGATTAGTGCTGGGCCTCATTAACCACCCAGCCAGTGAAACTGGAACTGTCCCTGAGTCTTAGCTGCTCTTGGCTTCCTCCAGCCAGGTGCTGCCTGGTGGAGAACTCCCTGAGTCCATCCCACCAGCCGTGGGACTCCGGGGTTGTGCCAGACCCACTGTACAGAACGACATGATGGGGTTTCTTCCCCTGTTTTTCAGCATTTTTTTGTGTGTTCTAGGTTTTGATATGTGTTTTTGTTCTGGAGCCCCTGGCTGGAGGTGGACCCAGGGTGGGATTTCTTCCATGGCTTTTTTTATCCAGGCTCTCCCAGGTGACTCCTCATGCTGCTGGCATTACAGTGTCCCTGCTGCCAACGTGTCACCGTGGCAGGGGACCTGGTGACATGACTCTGTCTACCACCTTTGGTGGCAGGAGGGTTGTGTGTGTGTGTGAGTGAAATGGGGAGATGCTGTTGTCTCCCATGTTCACTCAGTGACACATTCCTTTCGGGAGCTGTCGTTGCAGTGGGGTGGATTTGTTCCAGCCTCTAGTACAGGGACATGGCCATGGCTTTTGTGAGATTGTCAGTCAAAACCTGAATGTCCCATTTCTCTCTTTCCCAGTACACTTCTCCCAAGTCCTTCCCTTCCTCTCAGTTGACAGATCAGTCCTTTGTGTCCTCTTTATTCCTGATTTATTCCTACCTCCTTATCCATAGCTCTTCCTTCTTGACTTTGTCCCCTTGAAACCTGCTGCATTTTGAGGATATATTTATCATTCCCTAACTTTCCCATCTAATAACCAGAGTTAAAAGAAGTTAGGAAAGTTTAATCCTCTTAGGCTTTTTCACATCCAAACTTTTCTTGTCCAGGTGCCCCATGTATTTACCACGGAGTTGCATGTTTTGGAGTCTTGGGATTTTGTCCTGGAGAGCCCTGAGCAGGATCCTCTAACTCAGTGGTCTCTACCCTTTGCTAGGAATGGTCAATAACACTAAAAAAGTAACCACACTGTGGGGCAGCATCATAACTTTCTGTCCTTCAGGAGGAAAACAGTTCTTAATCCAAGCTCTGGGAATTCAAGGCATCCTATGGGGAATGTGTTATTTGCAAGCCATGAAGCTGAGCCTCCAGTTCCACAGGCAAGAGAGTGATGTGAGACCTTCTGTGGGAGCTGCCTCTGAGACCTTCCTCTGACCATGGATGGAACATTGAGCTGGATTTGCTCTGTGACCTTCCCAGGGACCTTGAATGTGGTGGTGAAGAGGCTGTTGTGGCAGGAGCCACGTAGAGGGGTGATCTGATCTCACACAGGAACCCTACATGTGGGTCATGGCATCGCTGGTGGAAAAGGCCAGTGAGCCTGGTCATTGTGGGAAGGCAGTTTGGGCTTATTTTGGAAATACCCAGCTCAGTACCTAAGCCCAGACCCCACTGCCTGCTGGCTGAGGCCTTTGGTTTATATGCTTTGTTTTTAGGGTATAATTACTCTCTTGTAATTTGAGCAGCCTAAGAGGCTGGGTATGTCTGTGCCACTGGACTACTTGTCTTCCCAGCTGCTGTGATTTCTGCTATCCAGACATGGGTAATTCTCCTTAGTGCATCCTCTCAGGGGTAGTACAAAACCTGCTCTATTCTGCAAGCAAAACATCCAGACCTCCTTGCCCCTGACCTCTGCTGTTATTTATTAATTGAGCCAAATTATAAATTATAGCCCTCAGAGGCTCAAGGGCTGACTGGTGCTCTAGGACAGAGGGTGCAGGGCAAACAGCACGAGCAGATGGGAGAGGAATGTACAGAGGGAAAATCCTGCTCCTGGGGCCACTCAGATGGCTGATGGAAAATGGAAAGACAGCCCAAGGGTCCTGCTCTCCCTGCTTTGTCCCAAAAGGCTCCTGTGTGTGCTTGGTGGCTATTGGTGCTCTCAGACTGTTGATACCCTTTTCTCTCCAGGTGAGCATCTTCCTCCATGGGGTTCAGTGTTTTTGAAGTGCCCTTGTCTGATACTAAAGGGACTCCTCATCCAGATTTCCTGGAGTTTCTCACTGCGGTCTCTCTGGTTTCCAGGTGGAATTTGCTGTCTTTCCCTGGAGGAATCACAGAATGGTTTGGGTTGGAAGGGACCAAGAAGGTTTTCCTCGCCATTCCCTTCCTCTAGGAGTGATAGTCTCACCTTAAAACAATTCTTACCTACTTGGGCCTCAAAGACTTCATGTCTGGAGTGCGTCTCTTCTGATTTTGTGTTGGCTCTTTGTTTTAATGGGCAGATTTCCTCCTGTTGTTGCAGGTGCTGTTGTCCTGGTGCTGTGATGACCTTTGGGCAGAGGGCTCCTCTTGGAGAGAGGGGCTGTTCGTCACCTCTTCAGTCTCTGGGTTGTGACAGTTCCCATTTCCCTGCCCTGCAGCTGTGCTGACTCTGCAGAGCAAAATATAGGAAAATATAGCAAAATGTTGGGGTAAAAAAATTATCTTTTTAGTGCTTGAAAAGAATAATTTCTTCCTATATCTGTCTAGTTCCCGATCATGCCAGTGTGTTAGAAATATGGATCATAACTCATAAGTGACAGGGGCTGGTGTTCAGGGTCGCCACGTGATGTTTCTGAACACAGGACTCAAACAGGGACAGCTTCCCTCTTCTACTGCTCTCCCAAGGAGGGGGTCTTTTGAAAGAGGAGTGGTTGTGTGGGGGGAGCTCGTTCCACCCCTGCTCCATCTATCATATTAAAGGTTATTAAAAGCCTACGTGACCAGCCTGCCTGTCCCTGCAGAGCCTGCAAGGCAGTCTTGCAAACTCTGCAGTATAAGCTTGATTTTATTAAATATTTGCTTGACCAGAAAGGCAGAGCAGAACAGGGTAAACACGCCTAAAGTAAATGTGGGGTGACCTTTGTCCGTCATCCATCCAGTGCCTGCGGCTGCTGTGGCTGGGAGGGCAGTGGGAGGTGAAGGTGATCATACGACAGCTTTGAAATTCTGGCTGCTGTGAGAATTTTGAAATATTCGGGGTGGCATAAAAGTGGTGGCTGCTCTACAAGCCCAGACTTACCCTTTCCACTATCAGATCTAATCAGGCTACAGGTCAAAAGAATGTGGGATTTATTCTCTCTGTTATTTCTTGAAGGAAATTTTTCCGTCCTGCTGGCGTTAGCAGGGCTGCATAGATCTGAAAAAGCTGAAAATCCAGACTTGTCACATCTTCCTCCCTGCTGGGATCTGCAAACAGTGATTTTTTCCTTACCTCCTACTTGTGCCAGCCTGGCTGTCATCACTCCTGATTTCAGCAAAGTCACTCTGTGACAGAGGTGATGGGACACTGGCCTGCACGACCGGGGTTGGGGTTTACCTTGTGCTCTTTTTAAGATCAAGGACAGCTTTGTGAAGTTCTGATGTGGATGTTAAAGTGGGATGGAGGAAGGAGAAATCTGTGTCCTCAGCCTGGCCACCACACCAGTTGTGTGCTCAGCACTCACTGAGGAGCTTGGCTTGTGAGATCTGGGGTGGTAGGACTCCACCTCCCACGTGTTCTGCTGGGCCATTAAAAGCCAAAGCTGTTCTTGGTGCAGAAGCAACCAAAAAAGTGAAGGGAAAGGGAGCAGATGGATGTGAGCAGGAAGATGTGTTTCCATGGGGTGTGATGATGTGCTCAACAAATTACAGAGGCTGTTTGAACCACATACTGCTCCCACACCCTGGTTAAAACCTGAGAAATTTTAAGAGACTGAGTGGTGCAAGGAGTCCCTCATCCCTCTCTTTGGAAAATCACCAGGCTGGTCCTTGGGTCATTAGTTTTCCCACTTCATGGCCCTTTAGACTTTATTACTGCTAATAGGTAGGCAACCCCTTTCTCCTCAGTCACCTGAGATTCCCAGGGGAGCTGTATCTCTCTTCAGGATGATGTTTTCTTGGCTGTGAAGTGAGTGGAGAGTGGTCTCGTGGTGAGAACCCAGGGGAGGGAGGACACACAGAGCTCAGCTTGCTCTGTGCTTGGCCACCTGCCCTTCGTGGATGTGGCTGTGGCAGCTGGCACACCACAGCTCCTGTGCCTGTACTCCAGGCTGGACCAGCACGAGGCAGCTTTGATCTGGAAGCTCCAGAGATCCTGTTCAAACAGGACCATTCTGGACCAAGGTCTCCCTGGAAGGATGTTAATGTCAGACCAGGGCTGGCTTCTTCCCGGCAAACTCCAAGGGCTGCAAAAGAGCTCAGCATCCATCTGGACCTGTCCCTGCAGGCAGGTCCCTGACCTTCTCTAGGCTTCAGTCCTTCATCCAGAAGAGCAGGATAATAATCCTTCTCCAGCTCTGGTGTCTCAGACAGCAAATACACAGTTGGGTTGACATTGGCAGTGCAAACAGCAACGCTGGTTAATGTTCCCACCATGAGCCTTCTGCACCTCTCTGGCTTCCAGGGAATATTTGTGCTGCACCGTGGGGCTCGTGTGTGTGTGATGGAGAGGAAAAGGGTGCTGATTTATGACTCTGCTGTGTGATTTCTGCTCTTTCTACCAGCATCTTTTCTTTCAGGAGGGCTCCCTTTGTGTTAGTTTTAAGTAGAGAGCTCAGAGTCGAGAAAGGGAGGATTAGCAATTAAATAAGCTCTGATGATGGTGTGGTCATGAAGGGGGAAGGAGGAAGGAATACTCCATAGTAATGTGCTTTTGTTTTCTTTTTGCTTTGCTTGTAGGACGAAATCTGCCGGGGAATTGGTGTTTTGAAGAATTTTACTGCTTTTAATCCTGTTCCTTTGGGAATACAAACCTCTCTGATCATGTCACCGGCCATGTGGAAATGGACTTGCCTGGTTTCTCACCTCCTGCTGTCCACCACAGTGTCACCTCTTGCCAGACAGCAGCCACTCCATCCAAAGAGGCCCTTCCTCACTTTCACTGGAGAACAAGCAGAGGGAAACTTCAACCACTTGGTGGTGGACGAAAGAACTGGGCACATTTACTTGGGGGCCGTCAACAGGATCTACAAACTCTCCAGTGACCTGAAGGTGCTGGTGACCCACGAGACTGGTCCTGATGATGACAATCCCAAGTGTTATCCACCCAGGATAGTCCAAACCTGCAACGAACCCTTGACACCCACCAACAACATAAACAAAATGCTCCTCATAGACTACAAGGAGAATCGGTTGATAGCCTGTGGGAGTCTGTACCAGGGCATCTGCAAGCTGCTGAGGCTGGATGACCTCTTCAAGCTCGGGGAGCCCTTCCACAAGAAGGAGCATTATCTCTCTGGGGTGAACGAGAGTGGCTCTGTTTTTGGAGTCATTGTTTCTTACAGCAACATGGATGACAAGCTGTTCATCGCCACTGCCGTGGATGGGAAACCGGAGTATTTCCCCACTATTTCCAGCAGGAAGCTCACCAAGAACTCCGAGGCGGATGGGATGTTTGCATATGTCTTTCATGATGAGTTTGTGGCCTCTATGATCAAGATCCCCTCAGACACCTTTACCATCATCCCTGACTTCGATATCTACTACATTTATGGCTTCAGCAGCGGGAACTTTGTCTACTTCCTGACTCTGCAGCCTGAGATGATCTCGCCACCCGGCTCCACCACGAAGGAGCAGGTTTATACCTCCAAGCTGGTCCGGCTTTGTAAGGAGGACACAGCCTTTAATTCCTATGTGGAGGTGCCCATTGGCTGTGAGAAGAATGGGGTGGAATACAGATTGCTCCAGGCAGCCTACTTGTCTAAGGCTGGGGCCATCTTAGCCAGGTCCTTGGAGGTTAGCCCTGAGGATGATATCCTCTTCACAGTCTTCTCCAAGGGGCAGAAAAGGAAGATGAAGTCCTTGGATGAGTCTGCTCTTTGCATCTTTGTCCTGAAAAAGATCAACGACCGCATCAAGGACAGACTGCAGTCCTGCTACAGGGGAGAGGGGACGTTAGATCTGGCCTGGCTCAAAGTCAAGGACATTCCCTGTAGCAGTGCGGTAAGTGAAGCCCCTGAGCACCCAAACTTCACCTCCTTGTGTGCTCACAGGTCTTGTCTTCAGATAACCAAGTTTCTCAACCATTAAAACAGGGACTAAGGAACTGGGATTGCGTTGTCCCAGTCCTGGCTCTGCCTCCAGCTCACCACACCACCCAGTTTAGTCAGTTCATACCTTAGTTTGCCCATGGACAAGCTAATGAGGGTATCAACAAATGTGCTGTGTTTGCTGATGAGCTAAACCAGGGGCCTTGAAATCTTCAGGAGGAATTTGCCTGTTGTAATTACTTCACTGTGCAAATCATAGGGGTGAAATAATTTTGACCCAAAGCACAGTTTTGGCTCAAACCTAAACCAAAACAGGACCTAGAGTGTGTCAATGGCTTCTGCTGGTTTTTGTGTGCACTGGTGTAGTTTTCTTTCCCTGGGCTGGTGTTGGAGCAGAATTTATTCAGGGAGCTTTGTGAGGCCAGGGCTTCATTTCTTCTAGGGCTGAGGAGCACTGGTCATTAACCATCAAAGCCCCTCTCCTTCCGGTCTCCAGCCAGCTCCGCGTCGCCTCTGCTCTGAAAAATTAAGGCCTGGCTGCAGATCAAGGATTAAATACTGCAAGATTTAAGGGCAGGATTGGGGAAGAGGCTGGTCGAGCTGACCTACAAATGGTCTGAGGAAATTGTCTTGGTTTATTCTGTCGGTTCACTCGAGTGTCGTTGCAGGAATGTGCCTCAGCCCCTCCAGCCCGGGGCTGGCTTTGATAGCAGGCACAGACATGGGCATTAGGGCTGGAAGAGCTGCCTCTCCAGGCTTTGATTCCCAGCCTTAATTAGCTCTTTCAAGTGAGAGGCAAGTTCAAGTCTGAGAAAAGGGAATATGAGGAACGCCAGAGTGCTTTCCTGCCCCGTAATCTCAAGGCAAGGAGGGCCTGGGATGTGGGGTTGCTCCAGCTCTCCTTTGTGCTCAAGCCTCCCTTGCTGGGAGGTTCCTGATGCTGCTCCTTGGTAGGACAAGGAAGGACCAAGAGGAACGCAGGTGGGAATTTCATTGCAGGAAGACTGATCCTGCCTTTCTCTACCTTAATTCCCCTTTACACCAGTGCCCTCAGAGTCCTTGCTTGACCTTGCACTTCATTCTCCCACACTGAATCTGTGGAGGGACAAGTCCTTCATTTTAGTCAGGATCTCTTCTGCCTGGACCCATAAAGCTCCCAATGGAGTATTGCACAGGGAGAAAGGCTGTGCCCAAATCTGGCTTTGATTTTTTTGTTTAGCTGCAAGGCCTCTGCACATTCAAAGAGCTGCCTTTAGATTTAAGCTGGGAGCTTCCCACTGGAGTTTCTTTCCTGGGCTGTTAAGCCTCTCCATGCATTTGCATATCAGCTCTGCTTGTGCTCCATACTAACATTTGCAGTATTGAACCTCTCAAATTAGGTTTGAAACCTCTCAGTCCTGGTTTCTGTGGCTTTAGACAGGAGCAAAAAGGCCAACAGCATTCTTGTGTTCCTTGGGATGAGTCCCAAACCAAGAGAACTGATGTCTCAGACTGAACTTGGAGGGCCCAGACTGCAGAAGTGGGAGAGAGGACAAGGAGCCAGGGGCTGGGTGACACAGTGGGGAAAAAAATGTTAGAGCATATTTGTGAGTGTATTTCTTCCCTGTGAATCAGAGATGCTAATGCTAAGCTGGAAAAGAACCTGGAGATCTTGAATTAAAAGAAGGGAGTCTGAAAAGTGTAACTAAGTAGGCTGTCCTCTCCTTAAATGAGCCTACTTAGAGCTGCTGGCAAGCCCTGCCTGAGATCAGCTGTGCTGCCCGAGGGAAGAGGTATTAGTGACTTGGCTGCTGCAAGGGGTTGCAGAGTCCAGCAGCTAAGCTTGGAAAATATTTGATGGTTGGTGAAGTATTTTGGAGCCTGGATATGTGTCTGTGAGGGCCCTGTTTCCTTCGCTGATGTCCTGTTGCCAGCCAGCCCCCAGCGCTGCTGCTCTGCCTCTCAGCACACGTGTTTGGAGCAGCTCTAAAACCAATTACAAAGCCATCAGTGAGACTTTTCCCTGGTTTTGTGTGGATGTCAAATGTTTCCCTGCTGGTGCAAATAGAGGCTTAACCTTCCTGAGATCCAGGCTGGAGCTGAACTTCAGCTTTGCTGCCCTGCCTTCAGCAGCCAAAATCCTGTGTGTGAACGGGTATAGATGATGTGCCTGGCACTGAGCATTTTAAATCAAGAGAGGAGAGATTTGGATTAGATTTTAGGAAGAAATTCTTTACATAGAGACTATGGTATAGGTTGCCCAGAGAAGCTATGGCTGCTCCATCCCTGGAAGTGTTCGAGGTTGGATGGGGCTTGGAGCAACCTGGGATAGGGGAAAGTGTCCCTGCCCATGTAAAGGAGTGGAATAAGATGAGCTTTAAGGTCCCTTCCAACTCAAACCATTCTCTTATTCCATGATTCTTTGTGGTATTAACTGCAGGGTTATGGAGCTGGATTCACTGCATTGTCCTCACCTCTTGGTGCATGATCAAGTCTGGCTTTTAGTAACAAACCTTCTTCCAATTTTGGTAATATTTCTGATAGAGTAATAACTGACTCAAAGGGGATCCACATTTTATGATTCTTCTGCTGCTGCCTTGATGTAATGCTTGCTCAGGGCCATTTCAGAGCAAGGGAAATCTCTTGGAGACCATTCCCAGCAGAGCTCTCCTAACCTGCAATGTGCACACAGATAATTACAGGGATGTGGGAGAACAGTGCTCTTGGCCCTGCTGGTAGTAGAGTCTGTAGCTTCTCTGGTCAAGCAGCTTGGTTGCAGCTGGATCTGGGAGATTTGAGGTCGGGCAGGACCTTGGTGAGCTGAGCTGGACAAACTGTGTCTCACGGTCAACATGCAGTGGGAGGCTTTGGGTCCCCAGATGTCCTGCAAGGCTGGATGTCCTGGAAACTTGCCCTGGCCTGTTTTGCAAACACAATATGAGGGCAAAGACGGAGACACAACTGTGTAATGAGCCTGCAATTCCCCTGTGCCAAGTTCCTGTGCGTGTTGCAGATGTTGGTAGTGTGATAGAAGCATTTGCAGAATGGGAAAAGTAAATATCCAGAGATGAATGGAGAATCCTCAATGTTCATTCCTCTCCTATCCCTGTGTTACAGCTGTCCTCCCTGTAATCTTCAGCACAGATCGGGAAAAAATGATAGATTTTTATGTCTGGGCAGTTGATTTGCAAATTGGTGATGTTCACTCAGGTGATAAATGGTTTCAGGTAATATCTCTCTGCAAATGCAGGATAATAGCTAATATTTAAAGAGTACACTTGACCCCAAACGCTTAAAAATTCATATAATCAGAGAAAAATGAGGCTGGGAAAAAAAGGATTCTTATGAGGTCATCTGATTTGCCCTTCTGCCCTACTTAAAACATTCCTGACAGATGTTTGTCTCACCTGTTCTTAACCTCCAGCGACGGAGGTTCCTCTCTCTCCCTGCACGATCTGTCTGTGCTGTGAGGAAGCTTTCCCTCATGTCAAATCCAAATCTCCTCTCTGGATACTGAAGCCATTCCTGCTTATACAGTCAGAGGGCACCTTCAAAGCCTTTGACACACGAGGCTCTTGTTATACAGTCATGGAAAAGTGACCACTGCAGTGTGGTTGGTGCAGGAACGTGTGGAACAGTGGGAGCAGGGCTGTAGGGACGTGCAGGGTGTTGGAAAAAGGAAAGGCTGTTCTCAAAGGGGAAAAAAAGGGCTTCTTAAAGCAGAAAACAAACTTCATGTTGGCTTGAGAAGGCTGTGGTTTAAACAGGCTTCATGGACTTTGTAATTGAGCAACCTGCTCTAGTGGAAGGTGCCCTTGCCCATGGGGGGGCTTGGAATGAGATGAGCTTTAAGGCCCCTTCCAACCTAAACCATTCTGTGATTCTGTGATTCCATGATACAGTTGGTATATACTGGATTTCTCAAAAAAAATAAAATAAAAAACCACAATATGAGAGGAGGATAGAGGTCTAAATGTGCCCTTTCTGTACAGGAATTGATCATTGGGGGATTTGTTGATTTTCATTACTATAAAATAGGACTAATAGGTGCATTTTGAAGCCCAGTGAGAATTCCATTACTGGGATGCTCAGCAGTGGAGACAGGGGAGGCTTCCCCTCTACCCTGGAGAGCAGTCAGGTGAATGGCTGTGTGGGACATACAAACATGGATGGAGAAGAGGAGGGTACTGGAGACTGACCCCAAAGCAGCACAAAGGTGTCAGGGGAGATGGAGAGGAGAGGGAATCCTTGCTGGACCTTTGTCTCACAGCAGAGCCCCAAACAAAATGTGCTGTTGGCACGTGCTCCTGGCTGTCAGCTCGGGAGCTGGTTGCATCCCAGGGTTGCTCTCCTGGGAGATCTTGGTCTCCTCATCAGCCTCTGATGTATCTTGCAGCATCACCTGCTGCTCTGCAGCCTAACAGACTCCAGTCCCTGAGATGAAAAGGTGTCACCTCCACCGCTGCAGCTTTCACCGGATACGCAGCACAAATATCTGCCTGATAATCAAAGTGTCTGTCCCCAACTATCTCCTGCCTTCTGCCGGTATTTTCTTTTCCTTTTGGCAGGAAATGGAGTTTGACTGTTTAAATTACTGTATTCAATCTCTTCCTGTTTTTCATGGCAGTGCTGTCACTTGGGGGAGAAATGAAATGTTTTCAGAGCTGACCAGCCAACAAAAGGCCTTGTGTAAAGAGCTGGGCAATATTTTCCCAATGCTTTGCTAAGAGAAGAAGATGTCTGGGACCCATGTCACTGTTTGACAAGTGACTTGGCTATAAAGGCTTCCTGTGCTTCTGGTGCCTGAGTGTGTAATTCCCCAAAACCTCTTTGAAGATGCTGCTGATGAAATCCCTGAGAGTCCTGCATCTCCTCCATACACCTGTTCCTCAAGTGGGCTCTTCTCTCCTGCTCCCTCCTGCTTTCCCTGCCTCCCCCTGCCCATCCTAGATGCCCACCAAGCAAGCACTGCTG